AAAAAGTAAAAACAATAAATTCCAATGTTTGTGCATATATGTGCCTTCAAGCCTGTCAAACCTATGATGACCACATGAATTTCATAGAGTTTTCTTAGGCAAGTAATACTCAGAGGTGATCTGCCAATTCCTTCCTCTGAAGTGCAGCCTACAACAAGCACCTGATATTATTTCCTGTTTGGTTATGACTCTATTATGATGCCACATAATCAGATTTGAAGAAGTTACACTGAAAAATAATCTGTTTTGTTAATAATATGAATTAATTGTTAATTAATATGAATTAATTGTTAATTAATATGAATTAATCGTTAATTAATATTAATTGTTAATTAAATTTCCTCATTGACATGAGCTTAAACTAAATCTTTATACTGCAGCCTCATATTTTCCTGGTAGTAAGATGCATTTAACCGAACAGGGCTTATTTTTGAGTAGACAAGCATAAGATTGTGTATTAGTTTTTCAACATTACATAATTGTAATTACCAGTAAGCAACATTACCTAAAACCAGTTAGTGTTGTGTAGCTCCACGATATAAGGCCTAGAAGAAAACAAACCTATCTTCGCAATTCAATATACATTACCTCTAGCGGAGAACCCTGAAGTTACCAGAGAATATTTGAGGAAAAAATGCAGAAACTGTGAGCTGTTGGTTTCTAAGGAGATCCTTTCCAGAATAAGACATTTCTTTATTTCCCCAGAGAACATCTGTTATTGAGTGGTACATAAACGTGGCTTTGAAATAAGCAGATTTGGAAGTAGGCGTGGTAGATTATTTACTGCCTTGTTCTCTCCTTATAGCCACACAGTCTAGAGGCAACTCTATTCTTTCCTTATTAAAAGGAACCGAAAATAGCTTTGATGGTAGCTGCAAGACAGACAGCTATTGTGTCTTCATGAAGTCGCTTCCTTTCACAATCGCCTTGCTGCCCAAATCTCAACTCCATCTATGTTTTGCAGTCTCTGCAACATCCCCGTGTCCCTTGACGCACAGCTGACAAGACACTTTCCCTCTGAGATGCCAAAGGGATTACAGGGCACCGGAGACTCGCAACTGAGCAGGGCCCTGGCTGAGTGACAACGGCTTGCCATTTCCTCTTTTTTCTTTGAATGCAGAGTCCTTTTCCTTCTTTCACACCTTCAGCATTTTTCATTTGTGACTCCCTTACTCTGCCTACAAAACTATATGATGCAATAATAATAATCATAATAATAATCATAATAATATAGAGTCCCCCTAGGGGTGAGAAAAGTGGTATAGAAATACTGTAAATAATAATAATAATAATAATAATAATAATAATAATAATAATAATAATAATGGCCTACACATGTTTTGGTGACTAAAATATTAGCTCTGTTCCTGGATGTGCCAATATTTATTCAAGTCAAATGCACCATTTATTTATTTATTTGCCATATTTATATTATATACCACCCCTCTCAGCCCAGAGGCAACTTGGAGTGGTTCACAATTGGCAACAATTGTAACAAGTAAAACAATAATAAAATACTATTAAAAACATTAACATCTATATAAATAAAAATGTAATGTTCGTTTGTGGGATTAACAGAACTCAAAAACCACAGGGGGAATTGATACCAAATTTGAACACAATGCACCTAACAACCCAATGTATGTCCTTCACTAAAAAAAATTGATTTTGTCATTTGGAAGTTGTAGTTGCTGGGATTTATAGTTCACCTACAATCAAAGAGCATTCTGAACTCCACCAACGATGGAATTGAACCAGTCTTGGCACACAGAACTCCCATGACCAACAGAAAATACTGGAAGAGTTTGGTGGGCATTGACCTTGAGTTTGGGAGTTGCAGTTCACCTACATCCAGAGAACACTGTGGACTCAAACAATGATGGATCTGGACCAAACTTGGCATAAATATTCCATATGCCCAAATATGAACACAGATGGAGTTTGGGGAAAATAGACCAAGACATTTGGGAGCTGTAGTTACTGGAATTTATAGTTCACCTACAATCAAAGAGCATTGTGAACCCCACCAACAACAGAATTGGGCAAACTTCCCACACAGAACCCTCATGAGCAACAGAAATACTTAAGGACATCCAGTCTAACTCCCTTCACCAGGGCAAGAAAACATAATCAAAGCCCTCCTGACAAAGAGCCACCCAGCCATAGATATAGATAGATATGATTCACACATACACAGATATAGTATCATAGATTTGAAAGGGACCCTAAAGAAGGACAGTTATATGTTGCATGTTCCAGAGTAGGCAAACCAGACAATCTCCACATCAACACTGACAAAGAAACAACAAGAAATACTTTTAACCCAAAAGCATCTAGAAATTAAATATATTAGAAACCAACACTTTCTCGTTACTTTATTTTACAGATCACCAGACTGGGCCACAGCAACACGTGGCAGGGGACAGCTAGTACAATATAAAAACATAAAACCGTACAAAGCCTTAAAACATTATCGCGAGCGTCTCCATTTCAAGTCATTATTCAATTGTGTCATCAAGTAGTTCCATGATTTCGTATAACTATGCCATATTTGGGAAGGCCTGCTCAAAAAGCCAGGTTTTCACCTTTCTTCGAAAAGTCAGGAGGAAGGGAGCCGATCTTATATCTCTAGGCAGGGCGTTCCACAGTTGAGGGGCCACCACTGAGAAGGCCCTGTCTCTCGTCCCCTGCTCTCAGTCCCATGAGACGGATGTCAAAGGGGAAAGATCTCCAGGATTGCTGAAACCACTGCCGTTTTATCTCATTATATATATTTTTTATGTTTTGCAAGTTCTTTCCATCATTGCAGCTGTACGCATAACAGAATATTAAGATTTAATTGAACTTTAAATAGCAATAGTTTGGGACTTCAAGGCTATATCACTGTGCAATCTTAGAAAAAATCTTTTTGTCGACTCCACGTTTATCTTCCACGAATATCTAACAATATTACTCCTCTCCCTCCCCTCTCTCGGCAATGTTGAGAAAATTGAGTGAATGAGTGAATTGCTTGTACTATGCTGAAATTGGCATTAGTCTGTGTTAAGAATTAAAAATATATTAAATACAAAATTAAAAAGAAAAAAACTTTTTAAAAGGTCATAAGAGTGATATAGGGGGTGTTTTGAATGGACAGGGAGGAATCAGCCTTCCATGGCGTGATGTGTCAAATCGCAGTATTTTCAAATCATAAGAATCATAACAATCAGGTGTGATGAGGAGTGTACGCATCCCGTCTCAATACAGTATGCATCCATTCCTAAAAAATACAGGATGCATACTGATGTAATCAGATTACATCCCAATGTGATAAGGTCCAACATATCTACCAATCATCATCTGCTTGCCCATGATCAGTCTATTCAAGAAACTAGAACTGAAGTGGTCTTTCGCTTGCAGTTTTCCAATCGGTGCCCCAAATAACCCCAGGAATGGGCCTACAAACCAAGGCCCTTCCACACAGTCATATAACTTAGAACAGCAAGGCAGATCATCCACAATATCTGCTTTGAATTGGGTTATCTGAGTCCACATTGCCATATAATCCAGTTCAATGTGTGGAAGGGGACTCAGGGCCCTTCCAGACAGGCCCTATATCCCAGGATCTGATCCTAGGTTTTCTGTTTATCCAAGATTATCTGGCAGTGTGGACTCATATAATCCAGTTTGGGAACAGATCTTGGGATATAGACCCTATCTGGAAGAGCCCCCTATATCCCAAGATCCAATTGCAGGTTTTCTGTATATCCCAGATTATCTGGTTGTGTGGACTCATATAATCCAGTTTAAAGCAGAAAACCTGGGATCAGTTCCCGGGATATAGAGCCTGCCTAGAAGAGTTCACACTGCCAGATAATCTGGGATAAACAGAAAACCTGGGATCAGATCCTGGGATATAGAGCCTGCCTGGAAGAGCCCATAATCTGATTGATCCCAGATTTTCTGTTTATCCCAGATTATTTGGCAGTGTGGAATCATATAATCCAGTTTAAAGCAGAAAACCTGTGATCAGATCTTGTGATATAGAGCCTGTCTGGAAGAGCCCCCTTTATTCTAAGATCTGACTGCAGGTTTTGTGTTTATCCCAGATTATCTGGCAGTGTGGACTCATATAATCCAGTTCAAAGCAGAAAACCTGGGATCAGATCCCCGGATATAGAGCCTGTCTGGAAGAGCCCAGGATCTGATTGATCCCAGGATTTCTGTTCATCCCAGATTATCTGGCAGTGTGGACTCATATAATCCAGTTCAAAGCATAAAACCTAAGTTCAGATCCCGGATTATAGAGCCTGTTAGGAAGAGCCCAGGATCTGATTGATCCCATGTTTTGTGTTTATCCCAGATTATCTGGCAGTGTGGACTCATATAATCCAGTTCAAAGCAGAAAACCTAGGTTCAGATCCCGGGTTATAGAGCCTGTTAGGAAGAGCCCAGGATCTGATTGACCCCAGGATTTCTGTTTATCCCAGATTATCTGGCAGTGTGGACTCATATAATCCAGCTCAAAGCAGAAAACCTGGGATCAGATCCTGGGATAGAGGGCCTGCCTGGAAGGCCATGTGGAGGCTACCTGTGTGCCACTGGGTGTGAGAGGCAGGCAGGGAGGCCACCAGGAAGAGGCCCCAAAAGAGGAAGAAGGCACAAAGCAGGGAAGCCAGGCACAACCCTGCCTTCCTTTGGCCTGTGCTCCATCCTTCCTACCCGTTACCTGAGAGGCCTTTCCTTGAGACCTGGGCCCAGGTGCAGCCACGGGGAAGCCATACTGTGATTATTGTTGTTGTTGTTGTTGTTGCCTCCCCGCTGCCTTTCCTTTCCTTGCCTTTCCTTCCCCGCAGGTCTCTCCCTTCCTCCCTGCCTGGCTCCATCCTCCTCCTCCTCCTCCCTCTCTGCCTCCTCCGCTGCGGTGGCCACGTCGCCCGGCGCTGCAGATGTGGCCCAAGCCGGCAGCTCTGCAGGAGCCAAGAGACAGAGGGGGAAAGCGCCGCAGAGAAAGGACTCACCTCATCCGCCGAGCCGGGCTCCCCTCTTCTCCTTCTCCTCTTCCTCAGCCTCCGGAAACGCTTTCCCAGCCTGCTGCGCTTTCCCCAGGAAACGATTCCGGCCCCTGCTGGCGGCGGGGATGCCGCTGTGGCTGCTCCTGCTCCTGCTCCTCCTCCTCCTCTCCTCTCGTCTCTCCTCCCTCCAGAGCCCAGGCAGCCCTCGGAGAGACGGCGACGCCTACTGGCCAAGGCCGGCCTTGCAGGGAGGAGGAGCAGAGGCGGTGCTTCTCTGCTTCCAGATTCAGACAGAACAGCAACCCAGCAGCCATACAAGTGGTGCCTTCCTATGAATGAACTAGCCATATAAGTAGACCTCTTAAGCACCAAAGAGGGAGCTTTCTAGGTTCTTGTAGGTTTTTTCGGGCTATAGGGCCATGTTCTAGAGGAGAAGATCAGAAAACTCCTGGACCCTACTATATACAAAAAACTCAAGCAAGACCCAACTTCCAAAATAACCAGGAAAACCAACACTCTGATTAAGAACTCCTCCATCAACTTTGACATACGACAACAGCAATGTAAATCCAACAGCAATGTAAATTGGAAGCCCTTCCACCCAGGCTTTGTTGTTGTTGTTGTTCATTCGTTCAGTCGCCTCCGACTGTTCGTGACCTCATGGACCAGCCCACGCCAGAGCTCCCTGTCGGCCGTCACCACCCCCAGCTCCTTCAAGGTCAGTCTAGTCCCTTCAAGGATGCCATCCATCCATCTTGCCCTTGGTCGGCCCCTCTTCCTTTTGCCTTCCACTTTCCCCAGCATAATTGTCTTCTCTAGGCTTTCCTGTCTCCTCATGATGTGGCCAAAGTACTTCAACTTTGTCTCTAGTATCCTTCCCTCCAGTGAGCAGCCGGGCTTTATTTCCTGGAGGATGGACTGGTTGGATCTTCTCGCAGTCCAAGGCACTCTCAGAACTTTCCTCCAACAACACAGCTCAAAAGCATCGATCTTCCTTCGCTCAGCCTTCCCTAAGGTCCAGCTCTCACATCCGTAGGTTACTACAGGGAATACCATGGCTTTGACTAGGCGGATCTTTGTTGCCAGTCTGATGTCTCTACTCTTTACTATTTTATCGAGATTGGACATTGCTCTCCTCCCAAGAAGTAAGTGTCTCCTGATTTCCTGGCCACAGTCTGCATCTGCAGTAATCTTTGCACCTAGAAATACAAAGTCTGTCACGGCCTCCACATTTTCTCCCTCTATTTCCCAGTTGTCAATCATTCTTGCCATAATCTTGGTTTTTTATGTTTAGCTGCAACCCAGCTTTTGCGCTTTCTTCTTTCACCTTGATTAGAAGGCTCCTCAGCTCCTCCTCGCTTTCGGCCATCAGAGTGGTGTCATCTGCAGATCTGAGGTTGTTAATGTTTCTTCCAGCAATTTTCACCCCAGCTTTGCATTCATCAAGCTCTGCACATCGCATGATGTGTTCTGCATACAAGTTAAAAAGGTTGGGTGAGAGGATGCAGCCTTGCCGTACGCCTTTCCCAATCTTGAACCAGTCTGTTGTTCCGTGGTCAGTTCTGACTGTTGCTACTTGGTCCTTGTACAGATTCCTCAGGAGAGAGACAAGGTGGCTTGGGATGCCCATCCCACTAAGAACTTGCCACAATTTATTATGATCCACACAGTCAAAGGCTTTAGAATAGTCAATGAAGCAGAAGTAGATGTTTTTCTGAAACTCCCTGCCTTTCTCCAATATCCAGCGGATATTGGCAATCTGGTCTCTCGTTCCTCTGCCTTTTCTAAACCCAGCTTGAACATCTGGCAACTCTCGCTCCATGTATTGCTGGAGTCTTCCTTGCAGGATCTTGAGCATTACCTTACTGGCATGAGAAATAAGGGCAACTGTACGGAAGTTTGAGCAGTCTTTCGCATTTCCCTTTTTTGGTATGGGGATATAAGTTGATTTTTTCCAGTCTGATGGCCATTCTTGTGTTTTCCATATTTGCTGGCATATGGCATGCATCACCTTGACAGCATCATCTTTTAAGATTTTAAACAGTTCAGCTGGAATCCCGTCGTCTCCTGCTGCCTTGTTGTTAGCAATGCTTCTTAAGGCCCATTCAACCTCACTCCTCAGGATGTCTGGTTCTAATTCATTCACCACACCATCAAAACTATCCTCAATATTATTATCCTTCCTATACAGATCTTCTGTATAGTCTTACCACCTTCTCTTGATCTCTTCAGCTTCTGTTAGGTCCTTGCCATCTTTGTTTCTTATCATACCAATTTTTGCCTGAAATTTACCTCCAATGTTTCTAATTTTCTGGAAGAGGTCTCTTGTCCTTCCTATTCTGTTGTCTTCTTCCACTTCCATGCATTGCTTATTTAAAAATAGTTCCTTATCTCTTCTGGCTAACCTCTGGAATTGCGCATTTAACTGGGCATATCTCCCCTTATTCACCATTACACCACCTAAATGGTGTAACATTAGAAAATGTTGATCATTTCCGTTACCTTGGTAGCCACCTCTCAACCAAAGAAAACATCGAAACTGAAATACAACAGCGCCTGAGCACTGCGAGCGCAGCATTTTCCCGAATGAAGCAGAGAGTATTTGCGGACTGGCACATCCGTAGGGAGATCAAGGTGCTTGTTTATAAACTATTGTCCTCCCAACCTTGCTATATGCCTCCGAAACGTGGACTATCTACAGACATCACATGCAACTCCTGGAACAATTCCATCAGCGCTGCCTCCGGAAAATCCTACCAAACCCAGATTCTTAAAAACATGCTGTACAGGATGCGATCACAATGGTGGACAGGATATAGGGATTTTATCTTTGAAGATCCCCACCGCTGTCACCAATTGTACAGGAGGGTAAAACTACTGCCACCAATTATACAGTACGCACAAACCAATTGTACAGGTGTGGATGATTATGGAGGGAATTAATCTCAGGCCTCAATTGTTGATAAGAATATATTATAGAGCAGGCCGATTATTACTTGTAAATTAAGGTAACTGCCACCAACGTGAGGTAATTGAGATACCACCGATGAGATCTGGCTCTACAGACGCAGATTAATTGAGATGAGATGGTCTTCAACAAAAGATAACAAGTTTATTGTGTACAAAGCGTATGGTTGCAGGCTGTTAAATAACTTATAGAACTCTGAATGTCACTTGGTTTGTAATACAATCCACTCTTTCAGATGACACAGCTCGTGGCTAACTTTTACTGAGGTGAAGCTCTTTAGAGAACAATGTTTCCTAATATGAATAGCCTTCCAATTTGATCTTTCTTTGATCAAATCCCTGTTCTCTAGTCCTTCCTTGACTAGGGATCTTAACAAGCTTCCTTTAGTCTGCTTTCACTAAAGAAACTGTCCAGGTTTCTCTCTTCAGCCCTCCTAGACTGAAAAACCTCCAGCTGCTCACACACACCTCTCTCCCAGACTTTTCCAAGCCTCCACACTCTCCTCCACTCTCAGGCTCCTTCAGACCTCTAACTGCTGTTCTTTTTAAAACACACACCACTTTTCCTGGTTGGCTCCATCCACTTCTCACTCTCCTGAGCCAGCCTGCCTGGTCTCCTTGGCAGCGCTCACTGTGGATTCAAACCAGATAACTCTAGTTTTAGCTACTGTTTCAAACACAAATATATACTCTAACAGACAGTTAAACACATACATAGTATCAATGACTTCTGGACACATGCTTTTCTCATTATTTGGCCATTTTGACCCTTCTAACTGATAAGCTCTACGTATGCGACGCCAGCATAGATAAACATATATTATTTTGTACTAGCCGTCCTCTGCCACACGTTGCTGTGGCCCAGTCTGGTGATCTGGAAAATAATGAGAAAGTGTTGGTTTCTAATCTATGTAATTTCTTTTAGTTTGTGGGAAAACAGTATTTCTTGCCGTTGATGTGAAGAGTGTCTGGTTTGCCTACTCTGGAACATGCAACATATCATTGTCCTTCTTTAGGGGTCCCTTTCAAGTCTATGATACTATAACTGTGTGTGTGAATCATATATATCTATATCTATGGCTGGATGGCTCTTTGTCAGGAGGGCTTTGATTACGTTTTCTTGCCCTGTTGGAGAGAGTTGGACTGGATGGCCTTAAGTATTTTCTGTTGGTCATGGGAGTTCTGTATGGGAAGTTTGCCCCAATTCTGTCATTGCTGGGGTTCAGAATGCTCTTTGATTGTAAGTGAACTATAAATCCCAGTAACTACAAATCCTAAATGTCAAGGTCTATTTCCCCCAGACTCCATCTGTGTTCATATTTGGACATATGGAATATTTGTGCCAAGTTTGGTCCAGATCCATCATTGTTTGAGTCCACAGTGCTCTATGGATGTAGGTGAACTACAACTCCCAAACTCAAGGTCAATGCCCCCTGAACCCTTCTAGTGTTTTCTATTGATCATGGGAGTCCTGTGTGCCATGTTTGGTTCAATTCCATAATTGGTGGAGTTCAGAATGCTCTTTGATTGTAGGTGAACTATAAATGCCAGCAACTACAACTCCCAAGTGACAAAATCATTTTTTTTTAGTTAAGGACATACATTGGGTTGTTAGGTGATGCTGTCCAAATTTGGCGTCAATTTCCCTTCCTAGGGGTAGATTTCTCTCACTTCCTATTGTCTCAGCCCTGTTCTAAACTATGAGACATTTGTAAGTCGGTTGTTTATAAGTCGGGGACTGTCTCTGTATTTGTACAGATTCCCAGAGCTGACAAAGTATTGCTTAGACAGGGGTCTTCAAATGTTTTAACCCAAGGGCCAGTTCATGGTTCCGCAGACTGTTAGGGGACTGGATTATAGTTTGGGGGGGGGGAAACAGTTATATCCCATCGGGTGTGGCCAGAGGCGGCCCTAGGTAATTTTCAACGGTAAGCAAACAGTATTTTGGCGCCCCCCCCCCCCAACCAATCATTGATATATATTTTCTGTTCATCATGGGAGTTCTGTGTGCCATATTTGGTTCAATTCCATCATTGGTGGAGTTCAGAATGCTCTTTGATTGTAGGTGAACTATACATCCCAGTAACTACACTTGCCGCACTTGCTCCCTTGCCTGGCCCGCTTTGGGTCCGGAGGCGTGCCTGAAGACCCCGGCATGTGCACCAAAAGTCACCTCTTCTCCTGACTTTCTCCTCAGCCATTGGGACCAAGA